TGTCAGGGGTGTGCTAGGCAAACTACAGCTAGGAAGTCACGAGTTGCAGAACAGCAAGGCTAGACAAGGAGCCCTGTGAACAGTCCCAGCTCAGCTGCTGTGCTGGGAGAAGCACTACCAGCACTCAGGAACTGGTATGACCTTGTGCCTGTTGAGGTTGAACACTGCCAGCCGGGTATGTAATGGCCTCTGTGGGAGAGAACTGTGCCAGCCCATGGCTGCAGCACAAACCTCTCCAGTGATGGAAGGAGATGGGTGTAGTTGGTCTCTCAGAAACTTCAGGCTCCATAAGGTTCTAACCATCAGCCTGTGCTGTTCTTCATGGAACCAAGCTACTAAGTGGAGTGAAGAATGAATGCTTAATTCTGAAACCCTGTAAATGATGCTGTCTTGTCCTTGTGCTTGTATCTGGGCTGGTAACCCAGAGGAGTGCCCTGGGCCCACTGACGGATGTTGTGTTGTTGCCTGTGTGCCTCCTGCCCTGCAGCGAGAACCCTCTGCCGACTGTGGAGATTGCTATTCGCAACACGGGGGACGCTGACCAGTGGTGCCCTCTCCTGGAAACCCTCACAGATGCCGAGATGGAGAAGAAGATCAGAGACCAGGACAGAAACACAAGGTGCTGCCACTACTTCAGACAGCTCTCCTGGCCTGTGCCTAAGATAGAAATTAAAAGCTTTGATGTTTGTCTTTCTCTACCGAGAGCCAACTGGCAGGACGTCAGACTTGCACACCAGAACAGAAACACATAGCCCTTTAGCTTCAGGGTATTTAAATTGTTATCACCTTCTTCCACAAACACCAGAATCTCTACTTTAACCATCTCCTGCTTGAAACAAAGTTTCTTTTTTTTTTCCTCCCTCTGTTTTTTTCCTTTTCCCTGGGCTCTCTGCTTGTCCAGGGGGGGTTGTTTCTACAGGAAGGCCTTAATCAAAAATACCAGAATTCCATGCATTGTCATGCTATGTAGAATCCTGCCACAAAGCTTCCTTTTGTGTAAGGTAAAGTGCTGTTTGATGTAAGAATGGGCAATATCTCAGCTCCAGCCTGACTGATGCCAACCTGTTTGCTAGCATGGGAACACTGTGTATTTCCAGGAGGAGCTCTGCCCATCAGAAACCCACTAGGTGATGTTTGAGAGCACTTGCTCCTACTTGGTGAAATTGCTCCTGGCAGATAGAAATGAATGGCTAGAATCTCTCCAAAAGGTACATTGTGGGAACAGTAAATATGGTGGCTCAGCTCTTCCTGGGACAGTTCTT